TCGAGGGTGGGACCGGCTACCTGAAAGAACGCAGGTGATTGGCTGGTGAGAAGTTTCAGTCCCACCCACCAACCTTCGGGAGGGGCGAGGGACTGGAGGTGGGGCTCTGTAAACGGAGGGCGGGGTGAAGGGCGCTGAAGCTCCCCCCACCACCCTGTGCGCCCTGCCCTGCTTCTCTCTTCCGCCTGGCAGTTCCTGGGTCATAGCCTTAAAGATAAAACGGCAGGCTTGAGTGGAGGGTTATCCTGAGGTTTGGGGAGCCATTCTAACTATCAGACTTGGAGAGGGTCGTGGGAACCCCCGAATTCACAGCCGTCAGTCAGGAGTCTGGGTGGCCTGGGCCGGTGGCTGGCCTCTGAATTGGGGTGGTCTGTGGGACTGAGCCCCTTTTCTGTGCGGGATCTGGGCTTGAGCTGTGCCCTGCTCTGGGTCCCTCCGGGTCGTGGTGGTCTGCAGTTTTCTGCTGGGCCCAGCCCCGGGTCACTCCGTTTCATAAGGCAGCCGTCTGCCCGGAGCTAGGGCATTTTGAGTGCAAGTTCTAAGACTGGGGACTTGGTGACTTGTCCAGGCGAGTAGACACCACCCGATGTGGGACACTAGAACTCATCAAAAAAGAACAGACCCCAGGGGCACAGCAGGATCCTAAGGCACAGGCTGATGATCATGTAATTGCCACCTGTGCACGTATCCAATTCAATAAATCCCAAGAACACGGGCATGTCAGGTCACATCAGGGATACCACAGATGCAAACTCATCAAACACCCAGGAAACCCCTCACCTAAGACTCATAAAAAGAAAGGGCATCTCAGTCTGCAGTGTGACAAGCTGACCTGTCACCTGGTCACTCCTGGGGAACCTTGCCCAGGAGATGCACCTGTCCCAGGGCTTCAGCTCCCGGTGACAGCTTGCTTTGGTGGCTCTGCCTTTTGTTAATCTGACCACCTGCAGCGTCTCCTTCAATTCCTGTCTCCTTGCCTACTGCCTCTTTAAATCCCAAGGGGCCCCCCTAACCCTTTCTGGGCTCTCTGTAACCTAAATGTCACTGTGCGAAATGCCATGTGTTGTTTGGACATTATAAATATTAGCAATTAAGATTGGAATGGGGAGCACAGGGGCGCACGTTTACAATCCCAGGGACTTGGGAGGCTGAGGCAGGAGGATGGCGAGTTTGAGGCCAGCCTGGGCGATTTAGCGAGACCTTGTCTCAAAATAACAAAGAATTCATGATTACGGGGTCATGATCGCCCCTGAAGGAGAGCCAAGGAAAGTAATGCCGCTTGTGGATTCATTGATAGTTCTATAAAGTCAGACCTGGGGAAAGACACAAATCCTGTCTAGATTAAAAAAAAATGGGGCGTGGGGCGTGTGTGCATGGCAGAGCTCACTCGGGGGCGCAGGAGGACTGGGGTACACAGGGCTGTCCTCGGAGAATCAGCAAATTTTGGTGTAGAAAGAAGTCCATGTGCTGGCCATGGGACAGGTGTCCAGCAACTTGTAGCTGTTTTTGTAGTCATTATCGCCAGCCCCCACCTCCAACCTTTGCAAATTCAAATTCTTCACTGAGTGGGTTCCATTGGGCTCCTTCTGTGCAGAGTTGGAGCCAGTGTAGACACCTCTGCTTCTGATTGATGAGCTAGAGGTCAGGACTGAAAGGGAGACTAGATCTTAACCTGGCGCTTTTAAGATTTCCCAGAATTGTGTACTTGGGCACGTTTGGAAGGAAAAAGAAACACACCAGGTTGATAACATCAAAGCACAGCGATTCATATCCTTTAGTCATCAAAAAGAAAGGATGAGAACACATCTTGAGATAAAAGCAGTGTTCTAAGCAAATTAGGGAGACTCTGTCTATAAGTAGAAAACCTGATTGGAGGGACGGGGGGCACGGTGGTGCACGCCTGTCATCCCAGCAGCTCAGGAGGCCGAGGCAGGAGGATCACGAGTTCAAAGGCAGCCTCAGCAACGTGAGGTGCTAAATAACTCAGTGAGACCCTGTCTCTAAATAAAGTACAAAATAAGGCTGGGGATGGGGCTCAGTGGTCGAGTGCCCCTGAGTTCAGTCCCTGGTATTCCCCCCCCCACTCCAAAAAAAAGCAGTGTCTGGGTACCAGGGGACATTTAGAACTAATTTAACATTTACTTCCCATCCTCGGCTGCTAAAGATTAATGCTGGGGCTGTGCAAGATGGTGCCCACTTGTCATCCCAGCAACCTGGAGGCTGATGCAGGAGGATCGCAAGTTCGAGGCCAGCTTCAGCAGTTTATGGAGACTTATTTATTGTCTCCAAATAACAAACAGAGAGGGCTGCAGGTGTGGTGCAGTGGTAGAGCGCCCTTGGTTTGTATCCCTAGTACCAATACTAAACACATAAGATGCATGCCGCATTTGCTGTTGTTCCTGTGTCTTCTGGTGCTGAGGGTCGTATGCAGAGCCTCGGCCACGCTGAGCAAGTGTTCTGCCACGGAGTGCCCCCCACCCCCACCCCAGTGCTGGTCTAGAAGGCAGAGGACAAGAGCTGGGGAGAAAATCCAGGGTAAAATTTGCTGGAGACAGCTAGCTATAGGGGCAATGGGAGCATCTTCCTGGAGACCTCTGGGATGGGACTGGAGAGAGATGTCCTGGAGCTCCAGCCCCACGGCAGGGGGCACAGGAGGCAGCAGGCCTTCCTACCCTGCACCATGACCTGCCCCCTCATGGCCAGACTCCAGTGCAGCCTCCAGAGCCACCTCCCAGTTTCCAGGAAAGACGGGGAAGGGAGTGAACCGGACCGGACCGGAGGGAGCAACCAGACAAATAGAGCAGATGGGGCATTTTTTTAAGCCACGGCTCTGTTTCTCTGAACAGGGAAATTCATTCAGAAAGTGGAGGCCAGGAGCTGGGGAGAGCGATGGGAAGTCACTGTTCAGTAGGCATGGAGTTTCGGTTCTGTGTGACGAAAAACGGTGGCGACCGTTGCAACACGTTATGTAGGCCCTAATGTCACCAAACTGCGCGCTCAAAATGGCTAAGATGGTAACTCTTATGGATATGCATTTACATATTTTTTTTTTTTAAGAAATCAAGGCCTGGGCTATCTCAGTGATAGAGTGTTTGCTTCCCTAACAGGTGAGATACGCTGAGTTCAATCCCCAGCACCAACACACAAAAAAATCCACATTAAAAATGATAATAAAATACAGGCATCACGGTGCATGCCTGTGCTCCCAGTGACTCGGGAGGCTGGGGCAGGAGGAACACATATTTAAGGCCAGCCTCAGCGACTCAGTGAGACCCTGCCTCAAAAATTAAAAAAAAATAAAAAATAAAAATATAAAAAGGACTGGGGCTGGGGGTGTGACTCAGTGGTCGCTTGCTTTCCTACCCTGCACGAGGCCTAGGGTCCATCCCCAGCACAACACACAAAAACACCCAGGGCCTTGGGCTGGAGCTGCGGCTCAGCGGTAGAGCGTCTGCCTCCCACCTCTGAGGCACTGGGTTTGATCCTCAGCACCACATAAAAATCAATAAATAAAGTTACTGTGCCCACCTACAACTAGAAAAAAATATTTAAAAAACAAAAACAAAAAAATCAGAGCCTTGCGTAGTCTGGGCAAATGCTCTACCAGTGAGCTACATTGCCCAGCCCAGGGCCTAAATTTTTAAAAAGCTAATTAAGGAGTTCTGTAATTGTTAATAGATTACGTAATAATACAAAAGACCAGGGAGAGGACTGTAAAAAAAAGTTCATGAATTTCTCACTTATTTTTCTCAAAATCAATGCTTTTATCTAACTATCAAATTCGTTGCAAATATTTTTTTTTTCTTTTGCCTGTTGAGGGGGGCAGTTTCACAGTTTCCCTGGGGCCCTAAACCCCAGGGGGTAACCCAGCCCTGATTCAGCTCATTTCTTCAGTAACTATTTATTTGCTCGGCACATATTTGCATTTCGATATTTGCCAAGTGCCAGGCGTTCTGTTTAGATCTGAGAGGCCAGAGGTTAAAAGGCAAAATCCCTGCCCTCAAGGAATGTGCGTGGGGGGGTGGGGGGGGCAGGAAAAAGAAGTCTCCTCCTAGCCCAGAGCCCAGAGCAGTCATATCTGGGGTGGTTGTGGCTCAGCAAGGAGGTGACTTCTCCATGGTGACAGAGACATGCCAGGGCTGGAGCAGAAGAGCAACCTGCCCAGGAGGCGAGGGTAGGTGTGCCCGCCCGGCAGGGAGATCAGCCAGAACAAACAGGGAGTGCCGGAATGTTCCGGGCGCCCGCCTGCAGTCAGCCAGCACGGTTAGGGCATAGGCTAGATCCGGGGGAGCAGGGAGCAGGTCTTGTGCTGTTACCTGGGGGTGACCAAGAGGCTGTTAGTCAGGGGGTCTCTGGTCAGAAGTGGGTTGTTGGGGGAATGAGATGTCCCCAGGGTGTATGGGACAGGAATGTCCTAGAGGCAGCTGGGCCAGTTCCAGTGCTAGGGCTACAATCCAAGCCAGACCTAGGGAAGGAGCGGGAGGAGGGGTGGATCCGCTAGGCAGGCTGGGGGGAGAACCCACAGGACCCACTGACTGATCCGTTGTAGGTAGGGGACAAGGAGCCGGGGACACAGGCTGATGTCCAGGTTCTGGCCTGAGCACCGGGGGTGTCCAGGCCAAGAAACCAGGCAAGGACCTAGGGGAGGAAAGGAGAAGTTGGAAGTTTAGGGAGCTGTCGATGTCCCCATCTAGATGGGGAGTTGGCCCCTGTGCAAACAGATCTGGAATTCTCGAGAGAGGGCGGGGCTGAGACAGGACAGTGTGCTGTAGGCTTGCGGCATCCAGGCAAGGGGCACCCTGGAAGGAACACACCAGCCCCACGTCAGCAATGTACAGTCACCTTATTCTCAGTCACTGCCCAGATGCTGGCCATGTGCCAGGCCCTGTCCTATGGAGAAGAAACGAAGAGTGGATGAGAATAAACAGAAGCTGGCTGCAACCACCTCTACTTGCATTTTGGTAGAGGTGCCAACAGTCTTTGTCTACTTTTTGTTGCAGTAAGAGAATATCTTACGCTGGATGATTTATACGGAAAAAAAAAAAAAGATTTATTTGGATTCACAGTTCTGGAGACCAGGAAGTCCAAGATCAAGTGAAGTGGCCTCATTTGGTGAGGGCTTCCTGCTGTTTCATAACATGGCGGGAGTTGGAAGGGGCACGGGAACTGGAGAGAAAAGGAGGGGGGGACAATGACTCCTGTGACAGCTCACCCTTTTCTTGTAGAAAGCCACTAATCCCTTCATGAGCTTCAGGTTCCTGGAGGATGGTGCATTCTTGACCCAGTCACCTCCCACAAGGCCAGGCCTTCCAAAACTCCTTGCCATGTTGAGGCACCATGGTTCCCCTGAGATCGAATAGTGCTGAGGGCCATTGCCAAGTAGGAATGACGCATCAAAATTTCCTTGCCAGCGTACCCCATGTTGCTTAGATGAAGGACTTGTGGAAATGGATTTGCCTTGGACATTTGCTGTGACATTGCATGTATGTTTGAGAAAGGTGACCCTGCTCAAGGACCAGGGTGGATCCTGGTTTAGGGAGAATCCTACTGGATTAGGGCGGATCCAGGTTTAGAGTATATCCTGCAGGTTTTAGAAAGTATCCCGCTCCTTGGGTTTAGGGCGGTTCCAGGTTTAAGGTTATTCCTGCTGGGAATAGGGCGTATCCTGCTGCCTGAGTTCCCCTTGAGTTCTCATGGAATTCAGAAAGTATTTGGGATAAAAAGCCTGGGGGAGTACGTGAATTTTGCAGCAGAACTTGGATTTCCCCAGAACATGTTTGTAGAGGGCCGGTGTGAGCTCGGGAATAAAGAGTTGCTGTTTGAATCTACAAGGTGTGTGGTGGCTCGTGATTCTGTGCCCAGCCAGACTGCGGCAGAATTGGACGAATAAAAGATAGAAAGGAGAGGGCTGGGGATGTGGCTCAAGCGGTAGCACGCTAGCCTGGCATGCGTGCGGCCCGGGTTCGATCCTCAGCACCACATACAAACAAAGATGTTGTGTCCGCCGAGAACTGAAAAATAAATATTAAAAATTCTCTCTCTCTCCCTCTCTCACTCTCTCTTAAAAAAAAAAAAAGATAGAAAGGAGAGGAAAGGGGACAAAAGTTTAATCTGAAAGTGCTTTCAGATTTCCTCTGAGATCTGTCACTCTCTAAACCAGTTTTTCTCCCAGGCTTGTCACTTCCAAATCTCTGGGAAATCCACAGATCTTAACGCTGCCGTTACCGTAAATCCACTCTCTTGTGAGAATCGCCTGCCCACCGCCAGTTGACCCATGCAACGTGCTAACCCGTGGATTTTCAGAGTAGATTAAGCAAAAGGGAGGTGCCCCGTGGTGAGGTTTTCCACTTCTCTCTCCCTGCCTTGCTGCTATGGTTGAACCAAGCATCTCCCCTTTGTTTAATCTAAATTATTTTAAAGAGTTGAAGTGTGTTCCTCATCTCCAGGGATTGATGTCATGGGGGGGGGTCCGTGGAGGTCCCAGAGAGGGGACCCCAACTCAGGATGATGGCATCGTTGACATATGTCACTGAAAAGAATTTCAATACACCTTAGAGGCACAAGCTGGGATTTATTCAGGAAAGCAAGGAATACACCTTCAAGGGGGAGACTGTAGGCCAGCTGGAGAGTGAGATATGCTTTGGGGTCTTGAGCTCTTCTTTTAGAGGAAAGTTGGTGGGGGGCAGACATGTGGGGACATCAGTCTGGTGGTCACATGACAGCTTACAGTGGTCTCGCTGTTTTGGGGTGACGTCTCTCTCTGATCAACAGATGACATTTGGAATGTGCCCTGCGTCATAGGTTCCTCAAAATATCCCGTCTCCCCTTTGCTTCATCTAAAACTTTTAAAGGGCCAGGGATGTAGCTCGGAGGAAAGTATCCCTGGGTTCAGTCCCCTGTACCAACAACAACAGCAAAAGGGGTCTGAATAAGTTGCTGAGGGTGGACTCAACTTTGCAGTCCTCCTGCCTCAGCCTCTCGTGCGGCTGGAACCCCAGATGTTGCCTCCACACCAGCTTCAGGCATCTGTTTTTAAGGTCCTGCAGGCTAGGTGTGTGTGTGAGGGGGTGCACACCTGTCGTCCCAGCAGCTTGGGAGGCTGAGGCAGGAGGATTGAGAGTTCAAGGCCAGCCTCAGCAAAATCGAGGTGCTAAGCAACTCAGTGAGACCCTGTCTCTAAACACAAAATACGGCTGGGGACGTGGCTCAGTGGTTGAGTGCCCTTGAGTTGAATCCCCAGTACAAAAAAATTGAAAAAAATTTTTAAGATTCCCCCAGGGGACTCTGAGGGTCGCTCTTCCTGCCTGCTTCAGAGGATGGCACGCATCATTCCCCTGAGCGTGGCGCACACTTCCTGACAGAGGGCAGACTGAGCTGTTCTCAGCTCCAAGCGAACTCACTACGCTGTTCCCTGCCAGCCCCAAAGCCGGGGAATGTCAAGGTGCCCAAGAGGACCAGAGTCTCCCCAACTGCTCAGAAGTCCTTCTGCTGGTTGGAAACAGGCAACGCCTCTTCCTGAGGACTGAGGAGTCAAGCAGCAATAGCAAAACGGTCCCAGGGCAGGTTCAGCGGCACAGCACCCTAATCTGTTTAGAACCCCCGAGGCCTTGAACCTGGCCATGGGGAGGGGAGCCACAGACGGCAGTTGCCTGACTCAGAGCCTTGGATTTCTTCCCTTGGCCTCCACCTTGGCCTGTGTGGCTCGATCCCCAGGAATCAGGGTTCCATGCAGAAATGCTTTGAGCTACGGGAAAAGAGATTGTTGTTTTTTCCCATCTTCAACAGACATATATATATATATATACTTTTTTTTTTTTCTTTTTTTGGTACCAAGAATTGAACTCAGAGGCACTCGGCCACTGAGCCCCCATCCCCAGCCCTATTTTGTGTTTTATTTAGAGACAGGGTCTCACTGGGTTGCTTAGTGCCTCACTTTTTGCCGCAGTCTGGCTGGGCACAAAATCATGAGCCACTCACAGCTTTGTAGATTCAAACAGCAATTCTTTATTCCCGAACTCACACCGGCCCTCTACACACACATTCTGGGAAAATCCAAGTTCTGCCCCAAAATTCACGTACTCCACCAGGCTTTGAATCCCAAATACTTTCTGAATCCCAGGAGAACTCAAGGGGAACTCAAGGATCGGGCGTGCCTGAGGCAGCAGGATACGCCCTATTCCCAGCAGGGTACACCTTAAACCTGGAACCGCCCTAATCCAGTAGGATCCTCCCTAAACCCGGATCCACCCAAGGCAAGTCCATTTCCATGAGTCCTTCCTCTAAGCAACATGGGGTACCCTGGCAAGGAAATTTCAATGTCTCATTTCTACTTGGCAATGGCTCTCAGCAACTTTTGCTGAGGCTGGCTTTGAACTTGGGATCCTCCTGCCTCAGCCTCCCGAGCCGCTGGGATGACAGACATGCGCCATGATGCCTGGCTGATATATATATATATATATATATATTTTTTTTTTTTTGTATTGGACATGAAACCCAGGGCCTTGCACATGCTAGGCAAGCACAGAACCACTGAGCTACAGCCCCAGATCCTGATTTATTTTTGAAAGGAAGAGATTGAGAGTGCAGAACAGGGCAGAGAAGTACGAAACAGAAAAGAAACACAAATGTCAGCTGTTTTTTGCTCTTTGTTTAAAAACCACAACAGGCTGGTCTGCAGAATGTCCGGTACAAAACACAGTGACGTTCAAAAAGAGAGAGACAGGTGTCCCGCAGCCTGGCTGAAGACTTCAGGGCAGGCGTTTGGACTGTAGGCTGCAGGCCTGGTCTTTGGGTGGAACACGGGACCATGTGGTGGGCTGGGTGCTTGGAACCAGACTTGAAGAGAAGAATGGCCACCTGGCCCAGGTGGAGGTAGAGGAAATGCTTGGTTTCATGTGTCGCTACCAAAGTTCCTCCCAGGAAGCGGTGTGGGGGTGGGGTGGGGGACAGTACTTCTTGAGCAACTCTCAGCTGAGATGGGGGACAATGTGCTTTGCATGTTGTGTTTCTTTTCTTTTTTCAGCGCTGGGGACCCCACTCAGGGCCTCACACATGCTGGGCAAGTGCTCTGCCACTGAGCTATGTCACCCCCCCCCCTTTAAATTTTTTTTTTCTTTTTTTTTTTTTTTTTAACTTTTTCAAATTTTGAGACAGGGTCTCACTCAGTGGACCAAACCAGTCTGGATCTCGCGATTCTCCTGCCTCAGCCCTCCTGCTGAGATTGCTGGGATGACAGGCAGGAGCCACCGTGGCCAGCGACACCCGCACCTTTGATCCCCACCTTCTGGTCGGTCGCACACAGGCACTGAGGAACAGAAGGTGGCGACTGCCCTGGTCTCCTAGGGCAGGGGCCGGCCTGATGCAGGTCCAGAGGGAGCTCTGAGATGACAGATTTATTCTAGGAATTAGAAGACCCCCGTGCAGCTGGGCGCACGCCTATGATACTAGCAAGTTGGGAGGCTGAAAGCAGGAGGATGGCAGGTTTGAGGCCAGTCTGGGCAATTTAGTCTCCAAATAAAACTTCAGAAAGGTCTGGGGATGCAGATTAGTGGTAGAGTCCTTGCTTAGCACATGGGAGGCCCTGGATATACACACACACACACACACACACACACTACCGTCACGCGTCCCCTAATAACGCTGAATCCCTGGAGATTAGATGGCTCATGATGCATGTCTCAGAATGCATCCTCCGGATTAAGAGACGCATGACCGTGAATTTCAGAGTTGAAGGAGTCGGTGGGGGGAAGGGACAGTCCACGCAGGAAGCTGCAGGATCAGAGGAGGCTCTGGCCCGTCCATCTGGACGAGACGAGCACGTTCGGCCACCCAAACAGGACAGCCACGGGAAACCTCCCCGGCAGGCTGGGCCTTGGCGTTGCTCCTGCTAACCAGCGTCTGGTGGTGGGCCTGCAGCTGCTGCTGGGCGCCAGGAGAGCCGGACTCAGAGCAGAGGAGGCGAGGACAAACCAGGCCCCGCAGGCTTCTCTGCTCCCTCCCCAGGTCTGACCACCACGAGTGCCACGTGACTTACGCCTGCCCTTTTTCAAGTCAAGTGCAGCACAGAAGAGGATTCTGGGAAACGTATTTCCCACGTGACCAGACTGACAAGGTACAAAGCAGACGGCCCCACCACCTCCCTCATCTCTTCTGTGGGTCATCCTCGTGGATGGGCTGGGCCACGGGACGCCCACATGTCTAGTGAAGCTTGTCTGGGACTTGCCACCCCTGGTGTCCCTAGTTCCCAGGCCTCTGGGCTTAGACTACAACAAAGCACTCGCTGCCCTGGGTTTCCCTGGAGCACGTCGCAGAGTGTCACAGCCTCCGTCATCACGTGAGCCAATCCTTACCCTCTCTCTCTTTCTCGCTCTTCCTTTGGTTCTGTTCTGCGGAGAACCCTCTGACTCCCCCCCCCCTTCCCTAACGGTGAAAGGTCCAGTTCTGCTACCGCCCAAGGCAGCCAGTCCCTCCGGGGACACAGGGGACAGGAGAAGAAAAGGTTTCGTTAGCAACAAGCTGGCCTGCGGGAGGTGGACGTCACGCCTGCGTCCACCTTGCTTGGTGCCCCCGAGAGAGGGTTGA